AATGGTAAGCAGAGCCGTGGCGTTGAAGACAAAGCCCTAGAACTGCAAGGCCCATCCATCGATGACAGTATTCCTGCCATACCCACAGCCGTAACTACAGCCGTAGCTACAGCTGTGGCGACAAGTAGTGATGGTGGTGGGACCGCCCGATCGATCGCCCTCGCTGAGATTCTGGAAGGTGCGGGTGTGCATTCGTTTCGAGACTTTTTGCGAGAGCAGGGGGACGAGAACACACTGTTCTTCTACAAAGAAGTGTGTGAGTTCCAACGTCTCCCCCATAGTCAGCAGCAGTACATTCAAATGCGCGCGCGACGGATATTTGACAAGTACGTTCGTCGTGGAGCGAGGTTGGAGCTGGAGATGCCGGTTGAGACTCGACGAGATATCCTCTGGAAGCTGGCGACCCCGACGGAAGCCACGTTCTCAGATGCGCAGCGCCTGGTCCTTCGGCAATGGGAAACACGTGACTTACCGAAATTCCGCAACAGTTCGCTGTATCAGGAAATGCTGGATCAGATCGCCGCGTCACCTGCGTCACCACATCCAGGAATTTCACACGACGGAGAGGAACACACGACCAGCAATTCTAGTAGCGTCGGCTTTCTCGAAGTCTCTAAACTATCTCTACGTGAGTTCTTGGAGCTCGAGCTACTTCGCAAGTACTTCCGACGGTTCTTGGAGCGTGAGCAGTGCGCAAACGAGTTGTATTTCTTCTTCGAGATCGCCACATTCCAGCAGTTCCCGACTTCCGACTACCTCGCTCGACAGGCGAGAAAGCTGTTCAACCGGTTCTGTGACCCGCAATCCCGTGAGTTTGTGCCCTTTTCTTCGCCAATAATTCACACAGACCTGCAAAGCAGTTTAACTAGCTCCAGTCCGGCCATGTTTAATAAGGCCCAAGAGCAGATTCTCAGCTTCTTCGCCACCACGTTATTCCCTAAATTCCAGCAAAGCGAGATCTACCACGGGATTCGTATCACACCTCAGCAACTGCGAGCAGCTCAACTAGCCACAATTGGCGGGGCGTCGGACAGGAGGCTCGCTGGTGTGAACCGTAACTCAATCCAGAATTCAACGGACGCTGGACGCTACTCGATGCCGCAAGGTGGAGGAGACGTGGACGACAGAGCGTCGCATGGCGCGCTAACTGAGGCCGATGTGACGATAAGTATGATCCTCGAGAACCCAGACACTCGTGCAATGTTCCTGTTCTTCTCCGAAGAAATGTACGTCTGCTGCATACAGGAACGAACCGCGTGATTCTCACCCCTTATGAACTGTTCATTGTGCTACTGGCAAGCTTCTGCACGGAGAGTATTTACTTCTGGATGGACTGCAACGAGTTTAAGGACATCCCCCACCGCAGTTATCTCAAGCTACGAGCCCAGAAAATATATCGAAAATACATTTGCGGGCGAGCTAAGCTCCAGGTGAATCTGGATAGCACGCTCATCCGAGTGATCGAGAGCAACCTGGACAAACCCACGCGCACGTTGTTCGCGCCAGCCCAACTATCGATCACCAAGATGCTGGAGCGAGACACGCTGCCAAAGTTCCGCCGCTCCAAGCACTTTCAACCCTGTTTCCAGTTGCTACTCGCCGCTAGCTACATGTAGAGCGTTGAAGACCCTAAATTATGCTTATTTGGTGTGTCTCAATTCTCTCTTTAGGTACGAATTAACCCTATCAACTTTGGCGGCACACAGCAAGTCAAGCCTAGTCAAATGGCACTCGTCCGACGACTCGCGCGCTCATCCCGCTCCGTGCAGACGTGGCAACTGCCCGTCGGCGCCCCCAGCTCTCGTGACCGCCAGAATTCTCCTCTTCCGACGCAGTCGCTGGCTCTTCGCGCCTTCCACGCGTCTCCACAGCGAGAGAACTCGATTCTGATTGCTGGCCTGGGCGTGGCTGGGGCCGCTCTGAGCGCCAAGTACGTGCTGCAGGTGTGGGAAGCCTACAAGAACCGCCCCAAGAGCGAGAAGGTGAGCTCCTGGAAGTACCGGAACTTTTACGACGGCCCCTTTGAGGAGACAATGACGCGACGTGAGGCCGCACTCATTCTGGGCGTGCGTGAGAGCGCGTCCGAGGAGCGAATCCGCAACGCGCACCGCAAGCTTCTGATCCTAAACCACCCGGACACGGGCGGCTCTACGTTCCTGGGCCACGAAGATCAACCAGGCTAAGGAGATGCTGCTTTGGAGGTGGCAAGTAGACCCAGCTAGACATTAGAAACACTAACAAGTCAAGAACGGGTGGGGCTCCCTTTAATTTGTGTATACTATGTGTGCTGATTAGTGAATGCTGTCAGGTAGAGGAGCTACGGGGGCTGGAGAGGGACTGGGGAGGCTGAATCGGAGACGAGAGAGCTTTGCTGCGTTCTTGTAGGTGAAAGGGACTTTGGACGTGAGCTGGTCCACAAGTGACGCGAAGCTGCGTTCGAACTCGGTCTGTAGAGGAGAAACTTCGACGAGAACGGAGGGCGCCAGCTCGGTCTCTTGAGGTGAACAAGCGGCGTCGACAAAGGTTCTAGCGAAGGGAATGTTGGTGTCCAGTAGTGGAGGCAGGAAATTGTCGTTTGCTGCGTCAGGTTGGTGGAGATCAAAGTGGTGTGGGAGCAGTTGAGTGTGGAAGGCAGTGGGAGGAGCAGACACGTGCTGACTGGGCTGGCTGGAGCGACGGAACGCCTCTCGACTGATGACGAGACACTGCCAGCATAGCTGAGCAAAGTCGACGAGGAGGTTGGCGAGTTCGTGGCGTTTCTGCAAACTCTCGTGGCTGCTCATGTAGCGTCCTTCAGCGCTCACGAGTTGCGCTGGATTACCGGCAAGAAACGAGTCGAGAACTTCTGGAATGCCTCCGTGTACATGCGTGTCGACGCTGCCTTTGAGCACCAGCGTCAAGGTCTTCAAGTCCGTCTTGCCCACATTCTCCTTGTCGATCTCAGCTCGCAGCAGAGCACACCGTTTCTGAATGTCGTCGATGGAGTTCTCGATGGGGCATCGTATCTCTTCAAGACGCAGCCGCACTCGCTGTCGATTCAGTCGACATGGGAAAGTCCGCTCTACTGACAGGAACGTGATGCGCTTCATCTGCTCAGCCGTTTTGCCGTACGACGTCGAGCTGCCGTGTGTGAAGGGAACCGCAAACTTGAACGCCACTCGCCAGTTGAAACTCCGCGGTTGTGTCGTCTTCAGTCGGGACAAATCAATTGCAAGCGCTTCCACCACTGTAGTGACGCGCAGGAAAATGACGTGGGGGTTGCTATCTCCCCCAGTCAGTGGCTTTGGCTCCGGAACGACGTCTATCCGTTCGCACTGCGGGTATTTGGCACGAAGCATCGCTTTCATCTCGCCTACGAACTCGCCGAGCGACACGAACTTACTCCGTTTGTAGATGAACTCGTCCGTGGAGATCAAAGCTGGCACGCAACCGCCAGCGTAGCGTACGCGATAGAAGGCAAAGGTCGAGCTGTTTTGCTGAACTCCGTTGCTTTCCTGTCTCTCCGCTAGGCGTCCGATTAACACGTCAATGCATCGGAGCATCTCCTGGTACTCCTTAAATCGCCGCTGTTGTTTCAAACACCCCAACAGAAGTTCACAAATCGACAACTCCTTCTCGATCCAGTCGGCTCGCGCAGCGTAGACACGAGCGATGAAGAGCTCGCGAATGATCCATTGCTGAACACGACCTAGGTACAAGATGTTGGAAGAATCGTCCCCGAGACCTGTTCGCTGTACACACTCAACGGCTGCCACTTTGCAGCAAAGCGCCTCAGCGAAACTCTCTCGACGCAAGTGAAGACGCAGCAAGGCGTTCAACCAAACGAGCTTCTCCTCTAGCAGCCAATGCGGAGAAATGTCCTGAACGACGCGGTCGATTCCTTCTTCGATCTCTTCAAAGTCGTGAACTCCGCTGGAATCCTCGAATGCGCTGCGCCAACGCTCGTACGCGTGAACTTTGCTCGTGAGATCGTTGAGCAGCTCCATGTACTGGACGTGGAAGCTCGACGGAAACGATAAAAATTTGTCTCGGGAAATTGTGGCGAACGCTCGCATTTCATCCAGGAGATCTCTCAAAGAGCTACTGGCGACTGTCAAAGCTGATGGCTTACTGAGTGTCGGGAAGAATACCGTGGTGAACACCTTGAGAATCGGTGCCTTTACCAGAAGAAAACTCCCAGTTTGCTCGTAGCACACGGCTAGTAACTGGCTCAGCAGCATGGCGGCGTGACGTCTAAGACTGAAGCTCTTTGCCGTGGCTGCGATCGATGCGATCAACTGGATCCGACTCTGGTCATGAGCGAGTGGGAGTCCTGGGATGCGGGCGGCAAACAAAGCCGCGGAGAAACGCCACACGAACGTCTGCAAGTACTGCAGCACGGCGATCACGAAACACGATTTGGTGTCATCTCCAGCACAGTCATCGTCTTGAGTCTGGCACTCGTCTTTGTCGGGTTCCAGCTCACCAGCTAATGCGCTGATACTACTCGTTTGTTGCAGTAATTGAAACAACAATTCCGTGATGTAGCCGAGAAGAACGAACGCCTGGTTAGTGCAAACACCCTTCAGAGATGTATCGACAGTCATCTCACAACCGAGACGGGGCGTACGCGCCACTTCAAGCAGTCGGATGACGGTCTCATATTGGTCTACAGCGGTCTGGATGACTCGAAGTGCGGTAGAGGCGATCACTTGTTGCAGAGCGGCAATTTCTTCGGCATGCCGCCCACCAGCGGCTACTTCCTGCGTTTGAATCGTAGGCGCGGATGCTACTTTCTCTTCAAGCCCAGCACTAGTAACGCTTCGTCGCTGTTGATTCGCGTATTGCTTGCTCCAGTTCCGTGGGAGCGATCGGTGCGCTGTACCCCCGTCCGCGGCGTTCTGGGATGCATCGTTGAAACTGTCCGTTGGATTGGATTTGGGCGATAAAAGGACCGGGGAATCCATTCCTCCTGTTCGACGATGACTGCTGCGGCGATGCGCGAGATGGTGCTCTAGCAGAGACAGTCCTGTTTCGCTTTCAGATGTACCCAAGTCAGGCGAGAGAAGGTGATGCCAAAGCTCTCCTCCAACGGACTTTGTTGACCCCGTAACCAGAAAGGTGTCGAGCATGCGCTGAATCAGTGCCAGATTGGCGTGAACTCTTGCTTCGTTGTACAGCGTATGGTGGTCCATCACTGCTTGAGAGCCATCACCGGTCTTCTCGTTCTTGCAGTCCCACGCTTCATTGTTTTTATCAAGCGTTTGGAAAGCACTTATGAATTTCTGTTTTACGAAAAGATTTTAGAGGCGTCAGCTGGAAAGGAGGATAGACAGAATATTTTAGGTAGGAAAACGATGGCGACTTACCTGCCCAACTACGCGGTGATAAAAGGCAAGCTGGTCTGTGAATTCTAAGTGCGGTTCGTGGACTTGCGTCGATACTCCATCGAGTGGCCGGAAGAAATAGGGTAGCTGTGAACTCGACACACTACAGAGGAGGTGGCCTACACATGCCATCGTCTCTTTCTGGAGATCAAGTTGGGATTTGGCTTCACTCGACACCGAAGGGCTACATGGACTACTTGCTAAGAATTTTCCTGGCGTCGTGAACCGAGCGAGTCTTGGAAACAGAGGATAGTACAGGAGAGCGATCCTCTCTTGATGCTCTGGGCTCTGAAACCGAGGATTATACGCCTGCGCTGCGAACATCCTGCGTAGCAATCGCACCGCATCAACTCTAATTTTCTGCTCTTTCTGGGTGTCGATAATGACCAAGAGCTTCTCGGAGACAGCCTTGGCGAGCCACGCTCGTGTTTTCCCAGGATTCCCTCCCGCTGCCCCATTTACGGTGGGGAAGAACTCAAAGTCCACCAAGATATGAAGAAAAGGGAACCAGATATGGCGAAGACTGTTGGCATCTCCCTCAACGTCGACCCACTTCACGTACCGATCGAGCACTCGAGCGGGGAAAATACTATTCACCACGAGAAATACTCCACGGCAGAAGTACGCCACACTGCGGTTTACTTCCTTCTGGAGTAGCAGTCCATTTGACGTGTCACCCGCACACGCGATCAGTTGTTCCAGCACGCGTTCAACCATCACCTCGTCCTTCTTGGCAAGCGTCAGAGGAAGCGACTTTGCAGCATCACTGGCCGCCGTATCCCGCTGATCCAGCAAGTGCATCGCCATAGACTTCAAGATGAGCTGCAGAAGGACGTTCGAGTACGTCAGAGACATTCGCTTCGTCTCGACGTTCTCCTCGATTGAAGCCTTGTTATTCAAGACATTCAGCCACGTTTCCAGCAGCGCTCCAAAGACAGACTTGCGTTCACTGTTAGATGGAGACTTGGCAGATGGGGACTGGGGCGTAGTGGGATCGTCGATACACTTCTCGTCGAAGACAATGTGGACGAAATCGTGGAGTACTCGGTTCATCTCGTGAACTTTCAACGATCCTCGGGGGTTCCAAGTGGCCTTCTCCATGATGGCAAGCAGTGTGCGGAACGCAGACCACCGCACAATTGAAGTCCCATGTCGTAGATATCCGAGTACGAACTTGACGATCGTGAAGAAAAAGTAGCGTACATTGAGCGCACTGCTCTGACTGAGACCCATCAAGCGGTTGACGATGGCGTCTTCATCGCTGTCTGCGTCTGAGCGCGGACTTTCATGAAATGGACGTAGAAACGCTGCTACGGCGCTGTCTTGGCTGTGAATCGAGGACACTACGCGACCACGACAACTAAACGCCATTTTGTTGTTATCCAGAGGGGCAACGCGTGCAGCAGCGACGTATCCGGGAGATGTCGACAGTCCGCTTGCTGTTCCCAACGGCTTGGAAGACGCAGGAGCAGGAGTCACGGTCAGAGTGTACTTGCCATCCTGCAAAATGGTGCCATCTTTTCCGAGAATTGGTACTACCGCGTACCCGAAAATCTCCTGCTGCGGCTGATTGGGCTGCAGTTTCTTGCAATGGACGTGATAAAACGTGAAGAGTAGATGATGCATCTTTGTCAAGCATTCTGGAAGACAAATCTTGATCTCATCGTCAAACTGTGGGTTCTTCTGGTGGTACCCCACAAGCGCGTACGCCGAGCGATCGACCTGGTTATTGGCTCGATAAACCGCTCGAAGAACAGCTTCATCCAACTCCTCCACGCCACGAACTGCGTCGACTTCTCTTCGCAGCAGCTGGACTCGAATAGCAATGTTGCGATACTGGCACCTCTCGATCTGAAGCGGGTACACGTACAGCGTGTTCACATACGAGACAGCCACCGGACCTGAACCCACCAGTCCAAACTTTGGAACCAAGGACGAAGTACAAAAGGGCTGAACTTCACGACAGTAACGAACTCTGCCTCCTATCTGCTCAGAGGTGCCGCTCTCTCTGTTGTCGGGAGTCCGCTCGGAGAAGGGATCGGCAATTTCCAATCGCGGCGGTGGTGACGAGGCTTTCGGGCTTTTAAACTTTGCGTCGGCTAGTTCCTCCGCTGGAATATCGTCTACGTCGAACTCGCATGAAGCAGGAATCACCTTATCTCTTGACATAACAAAGAATAAACGCAGCGTGAGCTCTGTGTCAAGCGCGGATTCTAGTAAGATAACTACTCACTTTAGAATGCCGCGAATGACGTCTGAAATCAAAGAAACTCGCTGCTCCTCCGGTATACAACCGCGCTGTCTGTAGAGCGTCATTGGTCGCTTGGTCCCTTTGCTTAACGGTATCGTTCCCCACGCAAATGGCTGTTGGAATCGGCCGAGACGTACCCCGCAATCTGCAGCCTTGTCGACCAACTTTTTCTGCTCCGATGGCGAAACAAATTTGTCAGGGGTGCAGTATGGGGCGGCTGCGATATCTCCGTCGCCAGCCAAGACCTTGCTCACTTTGAGAACCAAGTACAGATTCTGCATCTGCAGTGTTGGAAGCACATACATCAGCGCTGCAGGAGGGATCGGGCTGTCTACCTTGTCCAGCATTGGGCCAGGTATCCGGAAACAGAATTCCTCGGTGGCTCGACAGCCTAATGACATGTCGTATACTACCAACCTGCACACGAGAGGCTCAATCTACAAAAAATGATAAATAAGTTTGTTGAATACGCAGAAGAACTCAAAGTTTCGAGAGAACTGACCGTGCCGAGCGTAACGCGAAGACGCGGCGTGATCAGAAAAGCTTGCGCTTCCGGTACTGCCACACGAGGCTCCAGAAGAGACGATGCGCGTATCTCTGACGCAAAAGTAGGTTCACCCGGTGTGTATTGAGGCTCGTAGTTTTTCATCAACGAGTGGTCTGGTCGATTTTAGAGAGTTTAGATCCAATTTGCCACATTCACAAGAAACAAACTTACCAGCTTTTGTTTCATATCCTGAAGCAGTGGGGATCGGAAGGCGTAGGGCTCTCCACGGCCGTGAAAACTCCTGAAGAATCGGAGCATCTATAGACGATGGAGGGGGCAGCGGGAGTTCCATCGGACATCTCCATTCTCTTCTCTGCACTTCCACCAGTTCCAAAGTCCCCGTTGGAATCCCAAAACCGTGCTCCGTCCACACGTCTTCCGATAGATCGCCCTTGTCGATGTGCAAATCGATAGTCGACGAATGTCCACTCGATTGGGACGCCCCGTTCGCTGCCGATGAGGTAGAGGTTGCTACCATCGAGAAGGTGGATGATGCAAGGATCTACTGCGACGTTTCCCAATCTAACCGAAATACTTCCTTTGATATTTTATTTCCGATAGACAACTGCCAACACAATAGCACTGGCGCTGTGGGTCTGTGGCCACAACATGCGTTAGTTGCTGAGACTCCTCGAATCGAGAACCTCGATAGAGGAGAGGCAATAACCAGAAGAGTCTTCTGAGTAGACATTGCACACGTCACAGGAATCAGAATTTCACAAGTCACATATTTCTGAGAATTAACCGGTAAATCTCCCGCAACTGGTAGAAGCAATCGGACACCAGCCAATAACGCCAGCAAGATGGCGGCCAAGGCAGGCAACGCAAGCGTGCTGGGCGGCAACGCCAGCGGCGAGTTCATCTCCGTCGCAGGGCTGCGCGTGGACGGTCGTCGCAGTGAAGAGGTGCGCCGTATCCGTACGCGCTTTGGGCTTTTCTCGCGCGTGGACGGATCCTCGTACTATGAGCAGGGCAATACCAAAGTAGTGGCGGTTGTCTACGGACCCCGCGAGCTGCGTACGGCTGCTGCGGGATCCGTGAACAGTGGCGCAGCAGCCGTTGGCACTGGATCGGGCAACGCTGCTAGCAATACGCAGCCGCGTGCCACGGTCAACTGCGAGTTCACACAAGCGGCCTTTGCTACGTCGGAGCGCAAGCCACAGCGCAGTGGCGACCGCAAGAAACTCGAGATGTCGCTGGCTGTCAAGCAGATCTTCGAGGCCTGTATTCAGACACAGCTGTATCCGCGGTCTCAGATTGACATTTTCGTGCAGGTGCTGCACGCCGACGGCGGGGAGCTGCCAGCCAGCATCAATGCCATTACCTTGGCGCTAATTGATGCAGGTATTGCGCTTAATGACTTCGTGGTAGCCTCGTCAGCCGGATATTTGCAGCAGACAATGCTCTGCGGTGCGTGGGCATTGGTTTAATAGTTTTCTATATGTGTGTTCTGATTGTTTGCTACTGCGGCTGTTAGATCTGAACTACGCGGAGGAAGTGGCGCGCGCCCCGCAGATGATCATTGCGCTGAATCCGCGCACGCAGAAGCTGAATCTACTGCAAATGGAGTGCAAGCTGCAGCTGGAGTTGTTCGAGAGCCTCATGGAGGTGGCCACCGAGGGCTGCAACCAGATCTACGACCTGCTGCAGAATGCCGTGCGCGAGAACACATGGAAGCGGCTACGTCTGCGCGGCTCCGCGGTCGCATGAGCGACGACAAGTGTACACTTCCGTCAATTAGAGCAGTTAGGAAAAAAAAACTGGTTCCAACCGGTCTGTTAAAACGTTTCCACCAATCAAAGCTCGCCTCGCTTTCGCGGCAAGTGGAAGTTTGAATTTGTCTGTCGCGCCAAAGCGTACGTGGATCAGTTCCCGAGCTCCGACGTTCCACGCAGACCATGGACCGCCGCTCGGTCTCTACAACTCGAGGACCTCTCGCCCTGGGCTCATCAGATGCGCAAGAGAACCAGGAGCCTTTCGATGCGACAATATCCATCAAGTCGCTCGCACCCGCGTCAAAGTCGGCCACCAAAGCGCAGGGAACGATAAGCTCAAGCTCGCAAGACTCAAGTGCTCGCAAACTCCGCCGCGCACTTCACAGTGTCGACAGCAACCGACCTCGACCAACAGTAAATCCGTCAACAAACCCGCTGTCGAATGCGCCTTCGTACACACTCACAAACGCAGCAGAAACTAAGAAAGTGCGCGGACATGCTGCGACCATTTCACAGACTTCTACAGCGACAAATGATGCCACTGAGGGGGCCATAACAGGGCACAAACGTTTAGCAGCTGCCGCAGCCAACGAGGCAAAGATGCCGACGCGCTCTGGAGGTCGGTCGGAGGAGCAGGAGAGCGAGAATTTGGCCTGGATGGACATGATGCTTGCGTTGTTGGAGAAGCGCTACGGCTCCGATTCCTCGCTTCCTGTATGTCTCACCGACCTGGAAGCGGCCAACATGTTCCACTTACCACATAGCAAAAGGATTAAGACAGGAATCGCCTCTACCCAGGGGGAATCCAAGTCCAGGACTAGCCTGGACGCCAATAGAATTCACACAAGTGCTAAGGACAGTAAATTGCCGGCAACTGGGTCAACGAACTCGCAGCAGATCCCAGCGCGGTTCGACCAGGAGCTAGAACAAGCAAAAGAGAAGAAGCGACAGCGCCTGCTGCTACGGCACGCGCAGCAGATCCAAACGTCCAGTGTATCCTCGTCCACGAGCTGTGGGTGCAAGACCGGCTGCCTCAAAATGTACTGCATGTGCTTCAGCTCCCGAGGCTTTTGCCACGCCGGATGCGCCTGCGACGACTGCAAGAACGGACGCAATAGCCAGACGGAGCGCGTGGAGGCAATCCAGAGTTATCTAGCTAACGATCCGCGCGCCTTCTCCTTCGCGTCGTTGCCTCAAGATACGAACACCACAGGCTTCCTTCACCTCCTGCCGCAGGTACAGCTACAGGCATTTCCTGATTCATGTTCGTGTCTTACGTCGTTTCTATCTGCTTGTAGAAATCTAGCGCGGTCGTGATGCGCGGGTGTCGCTGCAAGAAGTCCAAGTGTCTGAAGAAATACTGCGAGTGTTTCCAGAACGGCATCGCCTGCACGTCGCACTGCCGCTGCATGGATTGCTCCAACCACAGCGAGTCGACGGCTGCACACCAGCATCCTCATCTACAGAAGGGCAGCGGTACGGCTCACGACGAGGACGCCCAGTCCAGTATCTCATCCACCGCCGGAAAGAAGCCGTTCCATCCCGTTCACATCACTGTGACCAAGCAACCTCGTCGGAATCAAGTGGGCAAAACGCTGCGTCTCAATTTGTGACCTGCCGCTCGAGCTAAGTCATGTCGATGTCTACATGTAGACAGGACCATTCTCAGCAAATAACACCACAATAGACCTTGTGTGTGTGTGTGTGTGTGTGTGCTTTCACGCAAGGAATGATTGTTGCTAATGAGTTCCAGAGTTTGTCACGCTTTACGCAAGTCAACCCACGCAGATGCAGTGTACTCCGACGGCCACGTCCAGAGCCTCCATCGACAGCAGCCAGTCGCCCGAGCATCACGCTGCCAAGAAGCGCAAGCACACGCGCAAGGCGCGTCGTCGTCTGGACGTCTGTGTTGACGCTATTAACGCCCTCGACAACTCAACTGCATTTGGCAATTAAAAGGAAGAGGAGAGAGATGAAATACAGAAATTGGAGGTTGAAGTTGCTACCCTTCAGACCCAACGGACGATACCTACAAGTGCAGTGGTGGCCGCTTCAGTGCACCAAGTCACGGCCGAGTCGAATGCGCTGCGTGAAGTCGCGAGGAATTGGCAGCTTTAAATGGCTGCGGCACAATCGCTCATGCTCGAGTGTGCGGTGCGAAGCTTTCAGGTTTATTAAGTGTTTTCGTAGTTTTTGATGTGTTGCATTGCTTCGACGAACCTAGAGAAGTTCTGTAGACCACAGTGGGTGGGAGTGTTGCGTTCTCTGAGAACGCAACACCCCCACCCACTGTGGTCGCGGATCTGCCTGCAGAAAGACTGGAACGAGAGGAGAGCGACGCTGATAGCTACACGAGAGGCAAAGCTGCAGAATGCACACAATTACGTCATGGCCCGCAGCAGGCACATCGTCAACGGCAGAGATCAGGAATCGCAGGATGAATTTGAGGCCGACGGCGGGGACGTTTGCTGCTCGGGCAACGTCGAGATCCATTTCAGGCGTGGAGTCGCTAAAGCAGGTGTACGAAGCTCTCTGCCTTTACGTAGACAACGTGGAAATCAGCAACTCGGCTACATTACAGTTCGGGAAGACTACGACGTGATCGAGGGATCGGCATTCAACTCGCGTATCATTTCAAGCGACGAGAACGACGTCAGTACCGAGTCGAACACGATCGTATTTACGCAACTCTTTGCACAGGGCAACCCGAGGTTTGGAGGTGAGCCGTGTGCAGTGGTAGCCTCGGATTGTGTCGATGAAGATGAACTGTATCCGTATCATGGATCAGACTCTGGTTCAGAGCGTATCCGCAAAGACATTTCGGGTGCAATAGTACTAACAGTCAGCAGGCAACAGGATAAGAGCGAACTTGCGGTCGTTATGCGCCGCTCGGATATACTCAAACTTCACTGCCCAGAGTTTTCATTATCGACGTTTGCCCAGCAAGAACCCGAAGACGGAATTGTAGATTGGGGTAAAGTGATGATAACGACATTCCGAGAGGTGTTGTTTGCTAATTACCACGGTACTGTAGAACGTGAAGTAGTACTCGTCAAGTACTTCTCGATACCGGTAAATTGGTTGGCGAATGAAGGCACGTATTTTGTCAGCAGTTTTTTCTTCTACTTACATGTACCGGTACTTCGAGGTAGGATATCTAAGTTAAAGTTTAGCCTCACGCTGCGGTACTTTCGCATGGTGTCGGAGGACTCAACCTCGTGTCGGTCGCCATCCCAGTCGACGGTCAAGAAGCGCAAACCCACGTATCTCGTGCGCAAATTGCGTCACATCCCCGTGCTTTATATCGCCCTCCCTTGCTCACGTACCTCTTGAGTCACAGGAAGAGGAGCAGGCTTTGAAGGACGAAATTCTGGAGTTGCAAGCCCAAGTTGCCGTGCTCAAGACCAAAGGGGTGTCCACCGGTGCAGCCATCGCAGCAGACCCGTCACAACAGCAGTCGACAGCCAAGTGGAAAGTGCTGTCCAATACGATCAAGAGCCAGCAGCTGGGTGTCGCTGCAGCGCAGTCTTTGGCAATGGAGTGCACGGGACAACAGCCTCAGTACTCTTTACCATTGGCTGCGGATTGTACTGACGGTGTTTTGATGGGCAGAGGACGCAATACTTGCACCCTTTGCACTCGCGTATCCGACTCGGGAAGAACTGGGGCGAGCGAAGAGCGACACTCATGGCCATGCGAGAGAGTAAGCTGAAAGGGGCGTACGACTACGTCATGGCACGCAGTCGCTTTGCTACGGATAGTCAGGACTCTAACGAGCAGTATGAGACCGACGAAGGCGACATTTGCTTCGTGGGGAACACAGTGGTGAAGTTCCCAGGCGTCCAGTCATTGGAGCAGGTCTTTGAAGCGCTGTGCTTTTACTTGACCAATATGGAGATCAGCATCTCGGAGACATTGGGTCATAATACGGTAAGAGAAGACTACGACATGGTCGAGGGGTCAGCGTACAACGCACGAATCGTGTCCAGTGATAGCAACGGCATCTCCACCGAGTCGAATACAATTGTGCTCATGCAGCTGATCAGAGAGGACGATCTTCGCTTTGGGGGCGAACCATGTGTCGTTGTAGCCTCCGACTGCGTCGACGAGGACGAGCTGTACCCGTACGGTCATCAGAGTACATTCGCAAGGACATTTCAGGCGCAATTGTCATGACAGCGAGTAGAGACAACGAGCCAAGACACGAAGAAGCAGACGGAGGAAATGACAGCACTGAAATGGTCGTCACCATGCGACGCACAGGTTATCTGAAGCTGCATCGTCCTGCGTTTCCTGTACCTCCGTTGGCACAGCAAGAGCTTGAAGCCGGGATCGCCGACTGGGGGACGGTGATGGTTAAGGCCATGCGTGAAATTTTGTACGCTCGGGCGTAATATGGAGTCTTCATTACTCTACGTTAATCTCGGCCAAAATAATTGCGCGAGTGAATCCTGTAGACCAACCAACTGAGTGGAAAATCATTCATCTACTTCCGCAGATCACCTCACTACCGAATACTTCGAAGTACGAAATACTGTACTACTAGGAATAGTACAACACACGATATGCCGCCCAGAAGCGTCCGATTACCCCACCGAAAACAGTGAAAACCCCGCGACCAAGAAGCGCAATTTCGCCCGGAAGGTTCGGCATCAACAGCCGAGTTCGTGCTTGTTGACGCTTCATGGATCTCGGCACAAAACGTCAGCTTACTGTGTTTGAATTTTACCGAACGCTGAGAGATGAGATTCTACAGTTGAAAGCTCAAGTGGTGTACTCAACGCTCCGTAGGAGCCTCTGATCCAGGATTGCGACAAGCTAAAGCCAAGTCGACGGTGCTGATCGACGGTGCTGATCGGCGCTCAGTCACATATGACCGAGTGCATGGTGAGCAGAATAATGACTTGCTGGGCGTCTGTGGATGGTTACTGACTGCTTATGTGGGACAGAGGACGCAATCCTCGAACCCGCTGTGCACGCGAACCTGCTTGGAAAAGGACTAGGGTGAGCGAAGAAGTACGTTGCTCGCCATTCGTGCAAAGAAGCTCCGTAATGCCTACGAGTATGTAATGACCCGAAGCAGACACGTTCCTGAGGGCCAAGGGCATTTGCCAAGACAGCTCTTCCGGGTCGGACAACGGCGGCATTCATTCCTTGAGAAGATTCGCCTTCCAGGTGTGAGATCACTTGATCAAGTGTTTGAGGCTCTTTGGTTCTATCTGACTAATATAAAGATCAGCATCTCGGAGCGACTACGGTGCGAGAAGACTATGACATGGTTGAGGGCGTAGCGTTCAACGCACGTATCTTGTCGAGCGATAGCAATGGCATCACGACGGAGTCAAATACCATCGTATTTGCGCAGCTATTCGAAAAGGGGAGATCCGAGATTCGGTGGCGACCCGTGGGCTACGACGAGGACGATGTGAACGCACACGCTAAGATATTTCCGGCGGACTAGTTAGGACAGCAAGCCAATGGCACTGAAGTGGTGGTCATGATGCCTGGAACCGATGATTAAACCATGAAGGAAGATTATATTCTTACCGGCTCTCTTTTTTTTTGACTTGTACTGTACTGTTCCAATTACGTCAGCGATGAGGGATCTGCGACATATGCTTTAAAGAACTTGATGATGCTTCCGTAAGTCATTTTATGACCACTCCTTACCAGTTAGTCCGAATGATGACGCTCCGACAACTCATGCCGACTTTTACTCATTTTTGTTATTAGCGACCATGCCGCACCGTCGATCTCAACAATACCTCTGCGTGTCTTCAGGCTCGCCCTCGCTGGACGAGTTCCCAGACAGCAGCAACTCACCTGAACACGTGAGTGCGAAAAAACGCAAGCCTTCGTACCTCGTCCGCAAGGTAGGACGCGTAAGCATTTGAGTCTGTACATGGCTGACGCCCTCGAGGTTACTGATTTTTCTTAATGCTACTACAGGAAGAGGAGAAGAGCCTAAAATACGAATTGCTGCAGCTAGAAGCTCAAGTGGCAGTGCTCAAGACTCGCGGGATGCCGGCAGGATCAGCCTTCTTCGCAGACCCAGGACTGCAGCAATCCAAAGCCAAGACGAAGAAGCTGGCTGACACAGCAAAACAACAGCGATTGGTTATTGCTGCCGCTCAGTCGCTTATGAGGGAGTGCATGGTGAGTTGTTTGCAGTGCTCACTGTTCAATTCGATTCCATACGCTAACTTTTTATCGTGCTTTCAAAGCAGAGAGCGCAGTATTCGAACCCTCTATGTACTCGCATTTGCCTCCAGAAAGACATGAGCGAGCGCAGAGCTGCACTTCTGGCTATTCGAGAGGAGAAGCTGAAGAATGCATACGACTACGTGATGGCTTGCAGCAGCCACACTCCTGAAGGGCAAGGGAAAGACATGAACGAGATATTCCAAACTAACCAGGGCGATATCTGCTGTCTGGGCAGTACCGTAGTGCACTTTCCGGGTGTGCGATCACTAAGACAAGTGTTTGAGGCGATTTGGTTTTATTTGACCAACATGGAGATCAGCATCTCCGAGCGATTGGGCCACGTTGCTGTGCGTGAAGATTACGATATGATGGAAGGCTCGGCGTACAATTCTCGCATCCCAGCAACCGACAACAATGGGATCACAACCGAGACGAACACGATGGTGTTTGTGCAGTTTTTTGAAAACGGAGACCCTCGCTTTGGTGGGGAGCCCTGCGCCATTGTGGCTTCAGACTCGGTCGACGAGGACGAACTTTACCAGTACCAGCCCTCCAAACACATTCGCAAGGACATTTCGGGCGGAGTAGTAATGACTGCGAGCAGACAGAAGAAACAAACGACCGTAGGGCAGTACACTGAGCTTCAAGATGCTGAAGCCACCTTTGACGACGACGAGATAGTGGTTACTATGCGGCGTGCAGGCTACTTGAAGATCCACGCACCAGAATTCCCTGTTTCGCCACTCGCTCAGCAAGAACTGGAAGGCGGCATTGGTGACTGGGGTAACGTAATGATCAAGACCATGCGCGCAGTCTTGTACGCAAGCCTGTAACTTAAAGTGACGCTGCTGACGACAATCCATTGTTACTGTAGCGTCGTGTTGCTTAGTCGATGTACATGTACTCTCTATCCGGCGACCGAAAATGATTTCAGTTGTTGCTCATAACGCGCTCGCCTTGGCGTGCTGACTCGTCGGTGAGCCCGTCGCGTCGAGACGTCGAATTTCGACAGAACAAAGTGTCAGCGCATCAGATGCGACGACAATCTCTCTGCTGGAAAGTCTTGACGCTGCGGTGGACGAGCGCTGTGTCTGGATTTCTCCAGACGCAGAGCAGCAAGGACACGCCTGGAGGTGGATAAGCTGGTTCGTCACGGTGTCAGCGAATCCGTTTAGTAATGGGCGTCCTTGGACGCAATCAGCCATTCGCGTTCATGCAGGCCGTAAGCGCGACGAGTTTGACTTAAGACTGGCGTTGATGACCAGAACGCAACGCTGCCTGGAAGCACAGGAAGAGTCGGTGAGATTATTGCGACCGCTCTTCTTTCTCCAGCATTTTATCTTGGACAGACAGCGGCGCTGCAGTGCCTGCGTGGCATGAAGTAGCAGATTTGCTTTCGACATGGATCCAATTCGCGCAACGCAACAAATCGCCCAGACAGCTTTCTCCGGCGTTGTTGAAGTGTGTACATGTACACGATAGTTTGGGGGAATTGCCTCAACTCGACACCGCTACATGTTAAACACGTTTAACACACCGCATCTGATTGTATCGACGTCCAACAATAGCTGCACCTGACACTGATCATGTCTTGAATATAATTTTATTATTCCTTGACGTATAACATATTTTTTAACTTGTAACTTGCAGTTCGGCGACACGCTCTTATCAATTGGTCGGTGCCGCGCTGTTTAAATCCCCCCACTTTTCTTCTTTTAGATAAATGCTTCATCTTCTTCCTCCATTCCTTTCACTGTCAGACAGCAATGAGACTACGCTCAGTATGAGCTGTCGCCAGCATCGCTGGATGCTCCAAAACTTCCCTCATGCTTCCCAGTCGCTTGGCTGGATCTACCGTGAGCATTTTCGCGAGTAGATCCGTCGTCGCAGCCGAGAAGAGCTGGTCCATATTCCACAACTTGAGCACCCCCCGACACCCGACAGTCTTGACGAGTTCGAAACCGCGGCACTCTGGGAACGGGAGTCGCAGCAGCGGAGATCCCGTCAACAGGACGAAGAAAACCGCGCCCAGCGACCAAATGTCGGCACGAACGGGGTCGTACCAGGTGCCGCTCACGGCTTCGGGCGCGGTGTAGTGTAGGTTGCCGGCCACACGGTCGCGCGAGAGTTCTGCCGCTCGGGTGGTGCTAGCACCGAAGTTGCAGATCTTGACGTCGCCCGTCCTACTGATGAGAATATTCTCGGGACACAAGTCCCGGTGTGCGATGCCGCTCGCGTGCAGGTACCGCAGACCGCGCGCGAGCTGCAGCACCCAGCGACGCGCCTCCTGTTGCGAGACTCGTTGTGACGGCTGAGGCCCCAGCGCTCCCCGACTGATCAACTGAGAGAGCAGGTCACCGCCTGGACAGTATTCCATAATAAGGCGGAATGACTCGCTCTCGACGCTCGTCGTATAATAGCGGATGATATGGCGTCGACCGTCCAAGATGCTGCGACCGGCGGCGTTGACTCTGTTCCTGCTGAGCGCGGATGACGCCCGAAGCACGTAATTGTCGGCCTCGCGCTCGAGTGCCAGTAGTCTCTGAACCGTACGCCATTCCTGCCACGTGCGCAACCCGCCGCCGCCGTTGCGGTCCGAGTCGAGCGTGAGCGCTCGCACTTTAACCGCGACTGTGAGCTGACCGGGGGCAGGTTTATCGATGCCCACGGCGTCGGGCGGCACCTCCATGGCGCCCACATATACTTGCTTTGTCAGACGTCGTGTGAGTTCTACGCGGGTTGATCCAGACCCAGACGAGGTGCGTGTGCGGTCCATGATTGACGACTCAGAGGACCGCTGCTGTAGAGGCGACCGCGCGGCCATTTGGCCGAGGTAACAACGTCCGTGGTAAAGTGGCTGTAAGAGGCAGGAGATGCCCGGTTCCTTTGTCAAACCTATGGCTTCGGAGACGTCGTCTCGAGACGTGTCGCTCTCGAGCTCAGTTCTCAAGTGAAGAGACCACTGCCGCCGCTGCGAGGAGCGATGCTGCTGCTGCTGCTGAGAGAAGACGAGGCTTACGATCCCACGGCCGCCGCTCCTCCGTGATAGAGTGAATGGATTGGGGCTCAATGGCGGGCGGCGCGCCTGTGAAAGGCCCCGTTGGTCATTTTCTCACCCGTGGCGCTTCTGTTGACGGCCTCGTTTCTGACTGTGCAGACAACCAGCGCGTCTGCTATCGAGGAAGCGACTTCAACACTGCTTTTGGTCTCGCAGAGGAGGGGCCACAGCCCACAGCCGACGCTGCACTCGCCCCCGAAATATTGACCATCTATCCACTGAGAACGAGGAGCTGAAGGCTGACCGTGCTACTGCTACCGGCGGGAAAGCGCCTTCTTACATGCAAATTTTCAGTTGGCAAGCATGAACACTGTAGCATAGCGCCAATTGACTCAAGCGTCATGATGCGGGTGACCTTACATTTTGGAAAAGTGCCGATACAGTGGCGATGTGCATATTATTCGACTCGTCTGACGTTACGATATAACGTTATCACCTATGACTCGGCCTATGTCCGTCGTCCAGCATGCTTTTGCTTTATGTGAATCATGCCCAATTTCTGTTTTTTAAAACTCTATTCTGTCACATTCGATTTGAGTTTTTTAAAAAAAAACTCGCGTCGAAAAGTTTTCTCACAGGTACAGTAAGGTGTACTAGTACCACCGCCAGGTGCGCCGTTATGCAGCGTTCTCGCTTCCTCATGGGTCAAGTTGTCATGGCAGGGTCGGACGTTTCAGTGGCCCATTTGCTGCACTGCACACGCTGCGCTTAGAATTTTTTGCGGTCGACAATAGCCTTGACATCGCCTTCGCTCTCAGTGTCTATGCCATTGCAGTGCGACGCCTTTTTTCGAGTTGCAGCAGCTGCTGCTGCGTGTTGGCCTTTTTGGCTCGAAGCGCTTGGATTCACGACTCACCGCCGGGCGCTTCCTCGTCGCGCGTTGTGTGGCGTCGTCATCGAGGCGTCGGCAAGCAGCTTGACACTGGCAGTGGGATGTGATTTGAGACAGCAGCAAGCGAAGACTCAAATGTCAATTGGCTCAAGGCGAGGAGCGTTGATGCGCGTCAAGGAAGTCGAAGCGAATCACTTAAAAAGGGTTAACGTACAAGCAGTACAGTATAGTACTGTAAATGAAAGTAGACTTCGCTGAACGATTGGCTGTGGCTTTGAGACCAACGACTCCTGGTCTGCTCGGTGTGGACTTGCTAGAATCCTGGTCCAACCAACTTTTTCGTCAAAGACCGATCGTTTCGGAGCGAAAAGCAGACGAGGACGCACCTTGCGAATCCGAGTTGAACGATTTTAATCGAGCCGGAATAGTTGAAGGCAACTAACTTGCTTGTTCGATGACATCCATCCTGCATTTTTGCAGTCTTCAGCATTCTCAAACTTTAATTTTAGGGCTGATTTTTAGGCCAGCCGTGCATTGATTTCTCAAATACTGGTAGGAAGTTGTAAAATACTGTATAAATACCGACTGAATGTGCAACTGAGCGAGCTACCGCACTGTCATTGGTCAATAAGGTGCATTCGTGAGTTTCATTAGCTGTAACTACAGACGGAGAGATGGATGGCCACCTTGGTGTTTGTCATTGCGAAGGGCGGCAAGGATGCGAGTGACAGAGAGCTGCCGACCATAGGCCGCGTAATTTCTGTCAATGGCAACGTCGCTGGTGAACCCCGAGCGTACAAACGTAGCAACGGCGTCCCAGAATACCTTGCGACGAGAATACGCAAATTTGTTGGCGCCGCGATCTGCTGCAGTGAAATCTTTGGCTGGTTTTAACCCGCTTAAACCAAACTGGTACTCCTCCCAAAGCTCGTACAGGTCCTTCGGTCGCTTAGACAGCCTTGCGTGTAAGACTTCTGCTGCACACTCTTCTTCATCATCTGCAGCTGCCGCTACTGTATGTCGGGGCTGTATCATGCGGGCTACAGGCTGTAGCGCAATACGTCGTACCACCGCCAACAGCTTTTGGTAGTCGCGTTGAGTTTCAGCGCGCGACCGAAGAACCTCGTTCAAAACGTTGGCTGTCTGGCGCTGCATGCCGAACAGCTGCGAGTGAATTGACGCGAACTCCTTACGCGTGCTATCCGCGCTAATGCCCCCGCTAGTGTGTTCGAGAGCACCGCTTTCGACAGCGTCTTCTCGTACTTCAACGAGCTGAAGCTGCGCACCCTCGCCAACAACATGGATGGGTACACGCTCTACCGCATTTATAGATGGATTTCCTCCAGCATTAACGTAGGCATGCAAAATGCGCTTCTTGAGCGCAGCCGGTATGACTTCGCAATCGAAACTTCCGTGCGGCACCAAACTTGCCCAAATAAGTGGCAGTGCAAGTACACGTGCCACCTCGTCACCCATAGCCTCTTTAATCACAGGTCCAACTTGATGAATTAACACGTCGTCAGTGACAGTCTGTACACCGTCCTTGAGTACGTAGCGACAAGGACCAATCGGCCCCGCCAATGCCCCGGCAGCTACAGCGTCTGGATACGGTTGAGCGTTGTCAATGTACACATCGACAACACTTTTCCTTTTACGCCACCTTCCACGCCGATTAACATAGACCTTAGGTAGACCACTTCGGCTACCGTAAGTAGCTGCACCTTTTCGCAAGCTGTGCGTTCCCAGGTTGCCTGGCTTCAGCTTGTGGAAGGTGGATCCAACGAAGATTTCTTGTATGAAGCGGCGGACGACGCGATCTCCATCCGGTAGATTGCCAAACACGTAAGATGATAATGACGTCTTTCCGGTCATCTCCACATGAACAGCGATGTTAAGAAGCACACAGACGCGAGGATCCATACTGCCTAGCACAATTTGCTTTGGTGCGTCGCGTTCTTCAGAAATGTTTTTAGACCACCGTAGTTGGCAAGTCAGTGTACCTGGGTGCTGAATGCTGCAGGACAAGCTGTCAAACTGCAGCTTCATCATATCGTCAATACGAGCAAGAAGATGCCATTGCATAGTGAGCACTGCACATACTAGATACCTCAGCACCCCCTTTGTGTTTCTGGAAATGACTTGTTCGAGTAGGTTGAGGAACTCTTCATACTCGATCGGACGCCTTGCTGCCGACTGCACTCCTTCTCTGCGAACCTCACTGCGTTTCACCTTCTTAATCACTGCGTTCACGGCCTCTGATCGAGTTGGGTTACCTTCATTACGGATAGGATCCCACGGGACCGTCCGTCGTGGCATGAAAGAGGAGATCGCTTTCTTAGCGTACTCCAAGGTAGATGCCCGGGCGTTCACTGGATTCGCGTCTTCCGTAGGACTGCGGTCCCCAAAAGCGCGATAATTCATCCAATGGCAGACGTCGTCCGGTGTGATTTCCAGCAGCTCTTCTTGACTGAAGACAGTGCTAGTTGGGAAGTTGTGATCAGCTCTAAAGGCCATGAGCTCACAGAGAATTGACTTGTACCGGCTTCCTTTCATTATACTTGAGCTTTGAATTGCGTTTCCGATTGTGGAAGAAATATTTCAATGCAACCGGAGGGAGGCGCGACTTACTTAACTTTTGTAAATGGCTGGTTGCAACTGCGGGTAAGATATCAAACCCTCTGTTCAACTGATTTTGCAGTCGATACAGCTGCGTTTGGCAAAGTATCAGCCCCAGACCAGCCGGTACCGTCCACAAATCAAGCGATTCGCCAATGAAATAGCTTTCATGAGAAAAATACAACCTCGGTTGCAAACGGCCGGTAATGTAGCGTTACTTAAGTAATTCCTATCGAGTCGTTAGCACCACAGGCTTCCGAAATACAAAAACTTACCAAAAAAATTCAACTGAACGACCGCCAAGGTAAGGCCCTTTCTGGTTGAAGAGAGCAAAACGCAACACGTACCGAATTCACATTGGATATAATTCATTCTTTAACCGTGTGTTGCTGAGTCCTGACTCAGAGAGCTCCCGAATGTGTTGCTCGTAATTTTCATTGTGGTGGCACGCCTCTCGTCAACAAGGTCCGACAGAGTTATGATGAAATACATTTTTTGGATCAGAAACATGTACATGTAAATCACCATGGCAGGGCCGCTGCTCAGCACCATTCATCCGTGGACTGCAGTGTATGTGCACTGCCTTGGTGACGGATTGTGCTGGGACTGTGACACTGCTGGACATCGTGGTGGCGGAATGCTGAGTCCTTCCGATTCCGTTCCTCATCGTGTTGGGTGCTTCCGTTCCTGCCGCTTTTGCAGTGATTTGCATTGTCGGACGGGACGGTCTTGAATAGTGCACTTCGCCTTCCGCGGTAAGGTACAGTACTGTACACGTGAACTTATTTTTGGCGCAACTTCGGCATCCGCTTAGGTCGAAAAACAAATGTGTGCTGTTCGTGCAGTGTTTCGCCCCTCCCCCCCAACAATGATGGAAAGAGAGAGAGAGTTCGGCTGATAATCAAGATGCAACATGTCTACAAGTACATGTAGTTAAACTCTTTAACATATCCATTGATACTGATTTCGACTCGTTATGATTTCTCAGCGTCCACGCATATGACGAGCGCCAATAGTTTTTGGTATCAACGTGGAGGCGGTGGTGGTCCATGTGTGTGCATCCACTGGAATTGAAACGAAAAATCGACGCCTATACAGCACAAGATCGATTCTCAGTAAGGTGTCAGAATTGTTCCCCTCCTTCTATCGGCTTACCGTAGTGTTCCAACATGAAGCTCACTGCAAACAGGAGCCACGTGGCGATTTTGCCTTGAACAAGTCGCGCGTGAGTTTCCAATACGAATGCCACTTGGTATAGTGTAGAAACCCCGAAACGAACATTAACAAAGAGGTGTAGACCTATCAAAATCGTCGTCTGAAGTACCACAAATGCCGCAATGACACTGAATCGCTGGGCAAGTCCTTCCAGGTCCTCCAGATCGTGTCCGTTCAAGTAAAATTCGCGGTTGGGCATCCCTTGCATGACCATTGTACATGTATAGGCCATATAAATCATCGGGGTGATACACTGAGCATACGCGATGAGGCCGAGGTACTCGTTGTTGAACAACAGCTGAAGTGTCTGGTTCACAGCCACCGTATTCTGCTTTCTAGTCTCCTTTAAAATGTCGTTTATCACCGGGTTTCCAGGCATCAACAGAGGACGCAACTTGAGAGAAGTTTCCAGCTTGGTAGACACCGCGACAAACTCTGCCAGTCTTCGAGAACTACTCGAGCCTAAATGGTTCATTAACCGTCGACCTGAACGACTTTGAGTCAAGGTCGCAGGGTCAGCTTGAGCTGACACCCTTCGCGAAGAGCCAGACCGTATTTGGGTCGATATTCGTCTGGAAGACCCCGATCCCATTTGTGTTGAAATCCTCCGAGATGATCCACTGTGTACTGATGAGACTCTTTGTGCAAACGGCGTCACTTGAGAAATTTTACGTGGGGTTTCTGTCCGGCCCGGTGTTCGCAGCGAGAATGACTCGATTGGTGTAGGCGTGCCAGGCCCCGTGTGATGTGATTGTCGTCTTGAAGAAGGCGAAGATGACGCAAGTTCGGTCACTTCCTGTGGCGCTGTGTCGCTGTCGAAGTTGTCCGTGTCGGATTCCTCGTCCGCGTCCTCCTTCTGTTGACTAAGTTGCTCACGACTATCGACCCGAAACCCGAAAGAGTTGCCGAGTCGAGCACTTATTTGAACACTCAATCGTTTCCCTGCTTCCGGTATCAGTCTCGCTGCTTCCCTCAGTCTTTGTGTGAAGTGAGAGGGAGGCTTTGCAATCATTGAGAAATATTCAGCTCCTAGCTCTGGCCCACTCATGGCGGTGGAGGAATAGCGGGACTTGCGCTCTGCCATTGATCGTAGAGCAGTTGGTCGTCGATCATTATGGTAAACACATCGAGCAGCTAGAGCTGCCAGAAGAGCCTTATTAGCCTCCGATACGTTGTGTTCAGCACAGGAGAGCAGGCAGATCTGACGCAGTTCTGCTGGATCCAGTTGGCCAGGTAGCTGGAGAAGCTTCAGAGTGGCTTGGAATAGAGTTCCGAGCGAATGCTCCGGTTCTTCTTGAGCCTCCGTTCCTACCGTTTTAGCGCTCAATCGTTGCTCTTGATGTCGTTTCTGTTGAATTGCTCGGTTCGCTAGTGCCACGCGCGATCGTCGGTTCATCCCGTGAAGAGCGAGGGCCAAATCCATCACATTAAGCGCCACAACTATCGCTACCATTTTGAGAGAATTCGTACACCGCATACAAAGAGCAGAGTACAAAGCGTTAAACACGTCCACGGAGAACACAATCACCTCTGGCAGTCGGTCTTCCAAGTGTGCTCCACACGCAGCGAGCACGTTCTTCATTGCGACGTTCACAAGTGTTAGCAGAGCCATTAGCTGTGGCTGAATAACCCTCGGCGCGGCTACAAAGAGCGCTTGATACGCAGGGTAGATCGTGACTAGAGACCCTTGAGCTATCGTGAGCATAAAGTATCGATTCACTCGGAATTCAGCGTCTGGCACGTCTCCGAGCACTCCTCGACCCAACACGAGACTCGTACTGACAACACAGACTAGGAGTACTAGTGGAGTCTGTATCATATTCATGAACGGGACCGGGAAAACCCACACTTTTGCCAGCACAATGTCGAACGCAATAGTAATCCCAGTACTACAGGCGGTAATACCTAACACCCTTCTTGTGGTTAATGGAAGTTCGGAAAGCCACGCCTTGGCTTGCATTAAAAAGCTTAGTATGCCGCACCCCACAACGATAAAATGTCTTATCCAGAACATATAGTTTGCATCAGGACCTTCAGCAGCGCGGCGAAGCGGGAGATACGCCACTACTACCACTAGTAACAACGGGGATAATGGGGTCAGCACACACACTGCAGCCACACGAATAGGCGATACCCGCTGGCCATATTCCTCCAGTGCCAGCATCCGTTCGACCGAGTATTGTCCACAATGACTCACTTGAAGTCGTTCCCATAAATGATATAGAGGGCCTAGAAAACTCCCGAATAATTTCAACGTTTCGATGACAATTTGGCTCTGCTGTCGCTCACAACAGAGACGTGGTCGGTCTGAAGCTGGAGTTTCTAACGGGACTGGGAACGGGGCCACTGCTGTACCGCATTTTCTGGGCATATCAACCCGGCCCCCAAAAAGTGAGCCAGAGAAGAGCTCGGTATCAGAGGAAGAGCTGAGGCAGTGGCGGGGTTCTATTCGCGGAGTCCCCTGCTGGTCACAAATAGTATTGAGCGTTTCTGAGAGCGACAGTGTCAATTGGTTGACCTACATCAAACAGGCAACTACAGATGCGAAATGACTTCAGAGCGTCCAGCTTTGATCCATTGGTTTCAAAAAATCACTTTTCATGTTATTCCCCTAAGTAAGATCCTATCTAGACTATCGGTTCTCATTTCTTGAGCCAGTCGAAGTGAAAAGTATAATCAACACCTAATTCAATACACATCAGACCCCTCAAAAACAGAGCTAAATTGTTGAAGCAGACGAAACCTACCGTAGTGTACAAGCGTCGACTGCACTGCAAATATAAGCCACATCAAGACTCGACCCTGCAGCAAAAGAAACCGGGACTCTAACACGAACGCCACCTGGTAAATTGTCGAGATACCGAAGCGTTTCATCACAATAACTTGCAGCGACACGAGCACGAGCAGCTGCAACAGCGCGAGAATACCGACCACCGTCATCCGCTCCTCGAATTCGATCGCGTCTCCAAAATATCGATAATGCGTCGGGTAGTATACGTGATTAGGCATCGCTTGCAGCGCAGGCATGTACAGCAGATACAGCACAGGTATAATACACTGCGTATACGCAATCAGTCCGATGTACTCGTTGTTAAACAGCAGCTGAAGTGTCTGCTTAATGGCCCGGGTATTCTGTTTTCGAGTTTCATCCAGTACAACCCCGATAACGGGGTTGTTCTTCGACACGAGCGGTAGTAGCTTCTCCGAAGTCTCTTGCCACAAGTTGTGAATAGTACGTCGATTCGATTTCTGACGAGTTTTGGGGCGAAAAACTGGAATTGACGCTGCGTCTATGAGCTGCGAGATCTTTGGAGCTGGTGACTCGATGTCGATGCCAATGGCGGATCCCTGAGACGAGAGTGACGAGGGTAATTTCTCGACTTCCGATTCATCCGACTCTGTACTTTTGCTTGTACTCTGGCGGGTTTCAGACCGCAATCGACCAGAATCATTCAGACGAGAACTCGTTCGCGTGCTGATCCGTGAGCTTAACCATCTGGTAGTTGGAATTACCAGCGCAGCCCCTCGAAGCCGTCGAACTATGATTGAATGAGACGGTGCAGGTATCGGTATTTCCGAGGCTCGAAGAGGTCGCCCCTCCATCGCTGCAGACGAGTACCGTTCTTTCATCCGAGCTACCGACACCGACTCAGTGGTCCGTCGACTGTTATTGTACACTGATCGAGCTGCCAGACTATCGAGTAAGGCAACATTTGTATCGGAGAGCTGCAGCGGCATACCCGAGTACAGTCGAATGGCTTGAAGCTCAGTAGTGTCCAGCTGCCCCGGTGCTTGTAGTAACCTTAGCATCGTATCCACTAGAGTGCTAAGTAGCGCCGGGTTGCCGGCCGTAGTAATCACAGAGTCGAGAACGGATTGTCGTCGGCGGAGTTTTTCTAGTTGGCGCTCCATCAACTGGAAGGACCGACAGGCTCGTGCGACTCGACGGTTCATCCCATGCAGCGATAGAAACATGACCGTCGTGTTTAAAACCATCGTAATTGCGACCATCTTCATCGAGTTTGCGCTGTGCATACAGAGAACGGAGTAGATGGCACTGAAGACGTCGATACTGAAGATAATAACTTCCGGTAAATTATCTTCCAGGTGCGACCCGATCGCTGTCTGGAGATTTTTCAGCGCGAGGTTAATTGCAGGTAGTAGTGCGATCATTCCTAGCTGTAATAGCCCCTCCAGCGCGAGAAAAACGGCTTGGTATGCTGGATAAAGTCCCAACAGTGACGCGTGCACAGAAGTTAGCAGCAAAAACTGACGTCCACGGAAATCTCCGTCTTGTACGCCTTCCAACGGACACGGTCTTAGCACTATTCGACTTATAATCGCCCAGATGATGAACATCAACGGTGCACCTGCCACCACGAGAAAAGGAATCGGGAAAACCCACAAATCTGCGATTACGATATTCGACGCCGTGTACACTGCTGAAGAGCCAATCGCCACAGCAAGAACCTGCTGAATCGTCATCGCCATATCAGGAATCCAAGCTTTCGCCTGCATCATGGCGCACATCAATATCAAAATCCCCATTAGAGTATGTCGTATCCAGAAGACGTAATTTGTTAGAGGCCCCTTTTCCACGGGCTGCAAAGGCATAAATTCCGTGAGCACGATGACCAGTAATGGGCCCAAGGGAAAGAGCGAGCATACTGTCAATACTCGTCCGATAGATACTCGTTGGCAGTACTCATCAAGTGCCAGCATACGCTCAACTGAGTATTGCCCACAGTGACTCACTTGCAGTCGTTCCCAGAAATCGTAGAGCGGGGAGAAAGAGCATCCAAAGAACGTCATAGTGGTCACACGAATGCTCGGCTGTCGTTGGGGCTTTGGCGGTAAGGAGACGATAAATGCATCACGCTTTTGTGACGCAGTAGGCACTGTACTCACGTTAGGACCAGCCAAGGATTTCTTCTTCTCTGGTGAACCTTCGATCGTTCCCGGAGGCTTAAGAATCATGTTCGATCCGTCAGGAAAATTCGTCAGCAACGTAGTCCGACGACGAGATTTTGTCGGGCTACTCAGTCGATCGGCTCGACTTTCTAGCACGTAGCTACTTCGACGAGGCAACCCCTTCGAGTCTGCTCTTGGAGCCTCCAAGGAAAGGTGCTGTCCGTCGCTTGATCTGTCACTATCCTGTCGTAACACTGCGAGACTGTCAAGTGTTCGGAGGGGCTCGCTTGCTCGTCCTCGAATGGCTTGCGTAAAACTCCTCACTCGTTGGGCGTCTGCTTTAGTAGGGGATTTTCTCTGGGCGTCGTGATGAGCTGCTTTATCGTGTGCTCTTTGGGGTCTGACATGAGGTGAAAACGGATTTGAGCGACCACGAATGTTGTGGAGTACGCTACTACTTCGCCTCGGTATTGAACCAAGATGCGGTGCCACTGTCACCGCCCGGAAGCTCGTCCTAGTTTCGCCATTGCGAGACACGGATAGTTGAGTACCGAAAGGATGCTGAATGTCACCACGCTTGTCTTGCATGGTCTCCACGTGAGTTCAATCGTTTCTGAATTTCTTGAGGGCTTAGTCAGACTCCGAAATTTCGACCCGAAATAGGTAGCTGGCGTACTAGGTGAGAGGTGAGACGGAGGTTTGTCGTTTCAACGGCGAGCTGCGCTTCTTAGCAAAGCGAGATGACCGATATCCTTGAGGACCTGCCGTTACTGTGATTACCCTCATGCAGCCAGAGGTGACAGCCATTCATTATGTGGCATGAATATACATCAGAACTGTACACACCGAAATGCCCATATATTATATTGCTTTGGAATCCGTGTAAGTAATTACCCCGCAATTTGATTCGAACGAGAAATTCATTTTACTACATGGTAGCAGCAGTCAACTTTTCTGAAACCAAAATCTTTCGAGTGTCGGTATTTATCTGTATTAAAATAGTTTTTTTAACCTTTATCCCCTTAATAGTTTGTTGTGCGGTTTGTATCAACTCGCCTGCGAAAAATTCATTATCTCAGAATGTCAGCTCAGCGTATATTACAAATACTAATTACAGTACTATGGCGGGTGGACTGTTAATTCAGGCGTAATTAGATCCATAAAAGGACGAACATACTTTATTTAACCCTTTCGTGGTCAAACGCGGCATTTTGCCGCGTTCTACAAAACTCCAACCGTGTTTTGTTTTAGCCAATGAGCGCTACAGATAACTGTGGGTAGATGCTGTTTTTGCTCGACTTGTGAATTTCAAAAGAGAATATTGCAATACAGTGCACCTTTTACGTCCACTTTAGTGTAAATATTGCGTTGGGAAGGAAGTGCAAATGACATGCATATTGCGTTTCACATACTGTTAAGACGGCAGGGCATTTGAGAGTCATCCATATTCACAATAATGAAAATAAGTTGATATCTAGCATAATGAACTCAAGTGACATGCTAGGCTCCACTTCTCTTCCTATTTTGCTATGTGGACTAAATTCACCGATGCAGAAGACAAAAGGCTTGTTGTGCTTGCGCTTGAATATGAGTCCCAGCGCAAGCGAGCTCAATGGAAGGAGGTGGCACGCGCCATGCGGGGCAAGTATTCGGCCCAAGCCCTTGAGAGTCGGCTGCGTGCACTCAAGCGAGCCTACGGAATGGATATTTCGCGGTTCCCACGCTTTTTTTTCTCGACAGTGAGAACGACGTCTCCTTATGAGAAACGTTTGCATATTCAAGCACCGAGTCAAGCGGAACGAACTATCTGTGATGTTTTTAGTACTGTATCGGCGTTCGAGGTTCGACAACAAGCTGGTAGGACAGATGAGAACGCAGGTGAGGTGCTTCCTGCTGCGGTTTCAAAAATAATTGAGATGATTGGGAACATTCGGCATGATGACGTCTTCTTAGATGTTGGAGCTGGGTTGGGGAATGTGGCGGCTCAGTTCGCGGTACAGACGAAGGCACGTCAGTGTTTGGGCATCAAAACACGACCGGAGTTGGTCAGCAGAGGTGTATCCTGCTTGCGAGCATATGCATTCCGAATTCTACTACTGCATAAAGTTTTCTTGCTCCAGGGGAAGTCCTCGATACGCCTTTATCGACTACACCACCTTTCCTGGACGCGTCAGTGATTTTTCTATATAATTTTGGTTTGATGAATCAGCTAGGCTCGTTGTCGAAGAGGAGCTGAGCTTGATGCAAAGAGCGCGTTTGATTATATCTACCGCTCGCTATTGCCCGCGTCATCGCGAATCCTGCTGAAGAAGGTTTTGCGCCAAGTGGGTGCCAACGCATACTACGTACGGTCACGCAAGCTGGAAGTCCGAGTGTATCCCTATCTACATGTACCAAGTGCGGCAGCAGAATTGTGAGCCATCGCCCGTCTAGGATTCCACCGGCGACAACTGTATAGAATAAGGGATCCCAATGCATGCGGAAGTGAAACCACGGCAGTGGCGTCCAGAATGTCGTCCGTACAGCAACTCGTTTTTCATGTTGAGCGCCGACGGCAGCGGGTGATTTTGTGGTATTTCTAATAACTTGCTATCTTTGCAAGGCACACAAAACAGTGAGCGCCGTGCTGCTGTTGCTGTGGCTGTCGCTGCCTGAGGGGGCGTCTTTGTTACCCCGAATGAGCACCGCTATGATTAGTATACTTTAATCAAGATATATACCCTGAATTTGAAAATCGTGTTTTTTTACTCATACTTCACTATTATAGAAAAATTTGCCTCACGACCTTACTGTGTTGGATCGCTGGGCTCGCTGGACTTTGGTGGTATAGATTCAAAGCACTTGACTGGCTAGGTGGGCTTTGCTGGACATTGTTGGCTCGGTTAGCGTGGGGGCTCGATTCAATTTGTTCGCATGGTGTACATTGGTGGCTCGACTCACTTTGCTGGTTTTGCGTATATTGCTGGCACGCTGTATCATCAGCAGGATGTTGTGTTGCAGTGCCCCATTCGGATTGATGCTGTGCCTTGAGCGTGGCCAGCACTGAAGACCTGCATATGTTCCCACTCTTGCTGAAGAGTCCTTTGGGGAGATAGAAGCGGTGGTACTTATCCCAGCATGTCTAAGTGCTCTGCGGGCAGGTGAATGAAGTGTTGGCGTCACCATGGGCAACCCTGCAAATGCTCACTGAGTGCGTAAGACAGCGATCGGTTACCTTCGTCGGGTACCTGCCCTCATAGCGACAAACTTCGCATTCTCGTTTTCTTCTGCTCTTGTCCTTAAATAGTTGCTTAGAAGACATCACACCGCACTGTGTTTGGTGACTGGAAACACTTGCCACAGTGCAGCCACTACTTGGTGGAGTAACACACCCTGTTGCTCCCGTTTCTCTGGCAATGCTGCTACCATAAGCCATCTTGCCGTCACTCGGCGCTTCTTCCATTTTCCCGAAATCAACTCAGACACTAACTCCGTAATGAACGTTCTGTGGGGGTCTCGATCCTTTGAAGTATCAATTGCCATTCGACGAGTCAAATAAGCGTTGGCACGTGCGATATCGACGAGTGCCAGCGCTAATTTTTTATGCCACTGTTTAAAGGAATGGCCGTCAGCGAGCGGAAATCTTGCACGTATCTGGTCTAACCGATCAACACCTTGCATATGCTGGTTGTACTCTAATACAGGTTGGAGACGGGAACGGGAGACTTGATGCTCCGATTCGGCGAGTTACCGTCGTTGTTGTGGACGGATCAGCATTCGTGACCATCGTCACAATGCTACCGTCACACCAGGACGCTGCGAGCACCTTATGATTAACATCAACAGACCCTTGATAATCACCCCGTGTGGACTCTTCTTTTTGTAGGATAGTGTGCTTCGGAAAATGCTTGCTCCCCCCGCGCACTGTTCCTCGTCCATACAATCCTTTCAGACGTAGATCCATCAACAATTGGACACTTGTATAGTAGTTGTCCATGTTAATAATCCGACGGGAATGAAGGTAGGGCCGTACTACTTCGATTACATGCTTGCGAACTTGTTGGACACCGTCTAACTCCTCGCGTAGCTGCTGCATCTCGGCTGGGGTTACTACATGCTGCAGGCGATCAGCAATATGGCTACTGCTGCAGTGGAGACGATAATTCAGAGCAATCCATGTGGTCGAGCAGCACACCACGTACATTCGGAAATGATATTTTCCACCCGGTTTTTGTGGGTTGTAGACAATGAGGTGCCGCCCGTAGCGAGACCGACAAGCAATGCTGGCTTCGTCCAGAGCAAGATTACGTCCTACTTCAACATATTTTCCACCGGTACTTTTGAGTAGATTCAACAAGGGTCGAATTCGTGCTGCAGGATCTCGTTCGATCGCGACACCAGGCTCAGCTCGAAAACTAAAAAAACTTCGAATTAACTTGAATCTACACAGACTCATCACAGTGTCCAAACTGGCAGATGCCCCACCAAAAATCGCATCTTCAGTCTGTTGCCCCCAATAGTTAGAATAATCTCCTTTGTCGGTAAGGGTCATGTAAAACATGATGCCGAGAAAGGTCATAAGTTCCTCAATGATGAACGTTTTGGTGATTCTAACCCCCTTCGCAGCTGCATACTGATTGGTCTCTAGGACAACTTGCTTCCAGAAGTAAAGTGGGATGTATGCGAAAAAAACTCGAAGAGGCCGAGTGAGCAAATATATGTCTGTTTTCAAGTAGTAATTGTGTCGTAGTACTGTCATCTGGGTGAGTGTACAAGTCGCTGGGAGCTTTCATTTCCACTTCGGGCTCAAAGCGCATGCTTTTCACTGCCTCAACCTCCGATAGACTCGCCGGCAAAATCCGATCCGGATTCCATTGCTCGTAATCTTCTTCATCAGACGCAATTTCGAGCTCGTCAAGTGGTAAGTCTAGATTGAGCTCCCCCTCCACTACCGTATCCGTCAAATCACTCCATGCCGGCTTGGTAGGCAAGCGCATCAGAGCCTGATAATTATCGATACCCCGCTGTACAGTCGCTATTGTGAGCGCTTCCACAGCATTTTGAAACTGGGTATCAAGCCACATCACTTGCAAAATAGCCCCGTGCTTTGGTTTCTTGATACGTCGACATACTCGACCCACAATATAGGCGGTGCCTACACACCTGTAAATTTTGCTTTTGTGGTTCTGCATCCACGGTTCTTTTGACGGCGAAAATGCCACCATCTTCTTCAGCAAGAGATGCTCAATACTTGGTGTGGTTGGAGTGCGATTGTGAAATGCAGTACTTGATGCGGCTTCAGTCGATGCTAATGGGCTCCCGTCGTTTCGATCTGCACAAAGCGCGCTCTGTCTTGGTGTCAGTGTCACACAAACCGACCGAGCATTTTGGCGCTGATGGCGAACCGAATCTTCGCCAATGCCACTTCCATGACATCGTCGAGTGATATTAACAACACGACCGGGAATATAATCAGGCCACCAATCTGCGCCTGACGTACAACCACTACGCTCACGACCGGGGCCATCCACGACATCACCTTCACCAGCACCAGCTACGCGAGCGGCGGGACCAACATCACCACGACCAGCGAGATGCTGGCCCTGCACGGAACCACCACTACGCTAACGACCGGGACCATCCATGACATCACCTCCACCAGCACCAGCTACGCGAGCGGCGGGACCAACATCACCACGACCAGCGAGATGCTGGCCCTGCACGGAACCACCACTATGCTCACGGCCGGGACCATCCACGACATCACCTCCACCAGCACCAGCTACGCGAGCGGCGGGACCATCATCACCACGACCAGCGAGATGCTGGCCCTGCACGGAACAACCACTATGCTCACGACCGGGACCATCCACGACATCACCTCCAGCAGCACCACGACCAGCTACGCGAGCTGCGCGACCACCATCACCACGACCAGCGAGATGCTCTCCACTCGCGATACCGCTGCCAAGTCGCCGACCAGGAGGATCGCCTACCTGATGGTCAGCTGTGGTGGATGGTCTTGTATCTGCTTCTGGCTGGGGCAGCTGTCCCTCGCTCTCATGCACAACTTGGGGGTTACCTGTACATGTAACGTTGGTCACTATATTGCTTAGGAGCCATAATCGACGTCATTACAGAGAAGATGTGGTACCGACAATGTTGCACGAAATGGTTTAACACGCCTTCCTCCCCAAGCAAGAAATCCTTGCCCTCTCTTCCGTTTGCAGTGCAACCTGGAAGCACATACCGGTATCTGTTGTTAAGGCCTTGTAGCGGCTTGGACGTCCATCCAGCCGCCTTCAGCTCTCTCCACACACCATGGAAGTCTAATGTCGACGCCAAAGGAATAGCATGGCTACTATGAGCGCCAACTTCGCCTCGTGTCCGGCGTCGCTTTCGTCTGGCGTGCTGTGAGTTTGCCAGCGCGCGTTTTCCCGGCATGGGAGGCACGGAATAAATTAGGAAATGAACGGCTCTAACGAATGTCTCACATCGTATCAATTATGAAAGAACAAAAGTAATAGACTCGCTATCAAACCTAAGATTAAATATGTATTATATTTCCCAGTAATTGTTTCTTCAGTTTCGCAAGCTCGAACTTCTAGCACTACAAAAAATAAGATATATATTTGGTTGGACCAGTCAATACTTAGAACAAGATATATGCTCGGCTGGACCAGTCAATACGTAAAACAAGATATATGCTTGGTTGGACCAGTCAATACTTAGAACAAAATATATACTCGGCTATCCTATTACAAAAGGTAGGCAATAAGATGTGATACACATTTTGATTGCAGCGATTCGGCATACCTACGCTAGCAGACGCACGTCCACTGTAGCAATCAATGAACGACTTATATTACCAATATTATAGCATGACGACGCCAGCACTATGGTGATCAATACTAGTAAGTGATAACCGGAGTTGGTGCCATTATCCAATAGCGCCTTTGGAGTCCAAAGTTTGGACTCGGTTGGGACTCCCAACTTCGGCGATTCACATGTCTATCCTCAGATACCATAACATAAAATCTCCGACCTCCGACAACCTCCGACCTGTACATAAATGGCGACACATCTAAGTCAGTAACTCTTAAAACAAATATATTAAGTTTTCTTTTGTAACTGTGGGCCACATTGAAAATGTATTCACAAATAAAAAGGAGGGGGGGGGGGGCGGTCAGCAGTGCAGCGGTGGCAGGGCGGCGGCAGAGCGGTAGGGCGGTGGCGGTGGCGGTGGCAGTGCGGCAGAGCGATGGCAGTGCGGTGGCGGTGGCGGTGGCAGTACGGCAGAGCGGTGGCAGGGCGGAGGCAGAGCGGCAGGGCGGTGGCGGTGGCAGGGCGGCATCAGAGCGGTGGCAGTGCGGCAGGGCGGTGCACAGGAGGCAGCGAGTCGATATGCTCAAGAATTAATAAGGCAATACATGTACATTTAAATTGACGCTTGCTACATAATGCTCTACGCAATATAAAAATAATGGATCTCCACGCAGGGATGTTGCATGTCTTGCTCCTAATGACGAGCAAGCTCCCTGTGGCGCTGCTACCCACGTCTTCTAAAATTTACTACTACATCGTAGCATATTAATAATAAGTAAGATTTAAAACTAATGTGTGGTAATGATTGCACTGGTCGGAGAAGTCGGAGAAATGACTTTATGCATTTGATATGCCTACATATTGAAATTTGTAAGAGCATATCCATATTTCCCGAGTCCTCTCCGACCCGATATGTCGGAGCCAGCTCCAACGAGGTTCAACCTAACCCTTAGCCTTTGGATTGGCCAAATCATTTTGTCAAGACCGTACGATTGGCTGTCTAGTAAATAAAAATGGATGATTGGTGATTAATGCCAATACTAAAATTAAGTAGGGTCGGAGAATTGATGATATTCATCCATATGGGATGGGAAAATTGACGTTAGGAAATTCATATTTTATGATGGTTCTGATTGGCCAGTCTAAACCAATCTGACAAGCGCGCTCTTTTGCCCAATCACCGACGTGGATATTTCTGTGCAAAACGTGGCAAAATGCCGCGTTCTAGGGGCAACCTACTGTAAAATGAAACAGCGGCTGTCACGTTGTTAAGGTTCGGATGTCGCAGGGGTGCTCATCACCACGTCAAAACGCGGCAAAATGCTGCGTTTTACAAAGATTCTGGATAGGCATCAAGATATGTGCTCACGAAAGGGTTAATGCTAATTCGCCTAAGATTGGCCCTAACGCACTCAATCAGCATTTATTATGGGATTCCAGCAGATTGGCGGGTTTCAACCCCTAATTATCTTCAGTCGGACGGGATTATTAATAGATTATTCCATCCTAAACCAGTGTCACTATCACCAGGTGGTGCGGTGGTTAAACAATGAACTTCTGATCGGGAGGTTGCGGGCGTCGGAAAATTTCGATTCGTTTAAGTATGAATTCGTGCGCTGGGCTATAGGGTAGTTGATGTAAAATAAGCGAGCACAAGGTACGCCACAGAGACACAAATTCTGTAAGTAATTGATAGCAGGTCTTAGGTATATAAGACTGCAATAAAGAAACTACCTCGGGTAGACGGAATTTACCAATTCTACCGCAAAGGAATAACCCATAATTAGGATGTTATTAGATAAGTCGTGAAAAGAATTACGACCAAAAAGGGAATAAAATTACGACAGAATTATCACAGCAAAATTAGTGAAACGCACGATAGAACTTACCGTAATGCATCAGCGTCGACTGCCCCGCGAGTTCGAGCCACCAAGCAAATGCCAAGTTACCTGCTGGATTCCCGTTTGAAAGAGATTATTAAAATCTCACTCAGATTTTGTCTCTCCTGCAGCCCATAACGCAGGTGAATATCAAGAGTCAAGGTGAAAACGCCAATAAAGTCGAAGTTTTATTGGCTTGTACAAGCTGCGTATCTCGGCTTTAGTCTGTTTAAAGGAATAGCGAGATTATCGATCTACGGAGAAAATCCGCATGCCCTCCAGGCCCGAGTATTTTACTCTCTGACTTCGCCCACTCGCACACTACCCCACACCACTCCCACAAGCGGTTTTTTTCTCTCGGTACACAGACCGCCAGGAGATGAACAAGTGCTCGTTTGTGTTAGAGATATAGCTTTTCTTGCATCCCAACTTCAAAGGTTTTGACGGATTCCTCAAACGACAACGTGTGCAATGCAGATCCAGAGGGTGTTGACACTGCCAATGGAGAGCGACACTTTGCCAAGATAAAACCCAATTTACGACAAAGTGATGTCGCGAATGTTGTTGGTGCCAGCGACGCCAGAGCCAGCTACGGCAGCGGACCTCAGCCAGCACCCCCAACGCTTTTTCAGAAGATCTGATGAAGTACTTTGACAATGTCATAAATGAAACATCCCCTGAGTCTGTGGCCGCTGTGGACATAAACGATGCTTGTATCGGGTTATGTCTTTACCATCACTAGCGTAGACGTAGCGGTGAGGAAGCTCACAAGCAAGATCGACTTAACTCATAGTAAAATAGACTCTAATAAAATTTAGTAGCAGGGCGGGAACCCTAGATCTCTGAGAGCCACTCATATAAAGGCCGACTCCTGACTGACTATAACGTTTTCATTTTTTCCTGTCGAAACGGGTGACTTCCTTTCTTCTTCAAGCGACGAAATAATTGCAAGTTCTTTATCAGCACCAGTCGATGTATTGGAATCCGATAGCTGCACTATCGCATGCTCAGATTGACACGTTAGATCCTGAGCAATGTGTTGGTTGCAACTTGAGCGAAATAGCTCGTCAGTACGACAGGCTGCATCATCAGTTGCAGCGGCCTCTGCCACTTCTATTGCATGCAGTAGTGAAGTCCTGACGGCGTCGTGGGCGGCATTTTCTTCTTTTTGATGTCTCTGTTCGATTGACTTCGCCTTGTTTTTCAGCACATCTTTTGGTATGCCCCAGTTGATTTGTAGCGTGATACTCGAAACCTTCCAGCTTCTTTTGTACCAGCTTTAATGGTTCTGTCCTTGGGCCTCGACGGAATGGCGAATTTCTGCACGCAGTTGCTTCATGTGACTGGCCAGAATATAACAAACTCGCTGCAAAATGCTTGCGTCGAGCCGAGTTTCTAGCTGCTGGAACGATACTGCAAACCGAATGTCGCTCCTGTGAGCGTATTGGGATGCGTGAGTATCAGCTACAGTTCGTTTTTGAGCCTAAGCTACATCACTAGCGGCATAAATTGCCGACTGGAGTCTGGAGTTAACGTGTTGTTCGTTTGCAGCAGGATTAACGCGAATTGCACGTATCATCTCAGCAGCAATCTCCGTTCGAGACTCCGTTTCAGCTCGCGGCATGCTGCCTTCGAGCCTATGTGTAAAGCTGCTATTGCTGCGCTTGCATCTGCTGATCGACGTGGAGCTCGACTTAATGTTGAAGCAGAGCCAGAGCCGCAATATGTGTCACGTGTGATGTGCGTCGAGCAGCCGCTCCGGACCGCGGGGGGGGGGCTTGACGTGGGTACAGGTGGTTGTGTAGTTCAAGGAGCTCGGAGAGAGGGGAGAGATAAACAAGGTAGTTAAATCACCCAATGTCACTCCAGCGTTTGCATTGCAAACCCCATTAGCGTATCTACAAGATCTCGCGCGGTCTGAGGACTGCGGTTCAGCATATCGTAAGCCCAATGACCATCGCCAACCCAGGAGCGACGCCTACGCACGCACCGGTACCCAGCCACTAAAGGTCTGGTCGGTCTGGCGATGCAGAAGAGAAGAGCACCACCGACGGTCACCAAAAGGCACCGGCTACAACGGCGTCAAGGAATTGTCGAAGATGCTGACGCTGATGGAGGGATTGGTTGAGCGCCTGGAGCGGCTCGAGGAGTCGCAGGCGAAGATAGAGAGGAAGCTCGATGGCGATAACAAGCGTGCGCGCGCGGTCGACCATTTGACGTCACAATCTATTAACTCCAGTTGATTTGCCTATGTTCTCGGCCGAGGAGCACGCATGCATGTGTGGTGAAGTGCTTTCTCAGAAATAAGAGAATGGGCCTGACGCGGGGTCACTATCCCGAATCAGTGACAATTCCAAATGATTAGAGAGGATTTGGGTTGTTTGGCACGAGTACAAGTTGCCTGTGGTGGATTAGCCATGACGAGTAGCACCCCGTATGGAATGACGATGGATCTGGTATGAGCGATGTACGAGAAGGCAAGATCCACCAAGACTTATCTCGGATCCACCCTTACCTGGATCCACTTAGATGGATATGGGATATGCTATATAAGAGTGGATTGAGTGTGGATCCGATGAAGGAATGATGGTAGGTACCCTCTGAAGGTGGATCTAGTAGCCACGGCTAACAAGAAGTCAGGATCCACCGCGAGGTGCCCCGGATCCCATACTTTCGAGTTCGGATCCAAGGAGGGCAGATCTCGCATAGAAGGACCTGGATCCAGGGTACAGGGATGAGGGATGCAGTGGATCTGGGACTTTCGTGGGACAATGGAGATCACAGACGGTTGCAAGATGATGTTCGATGATTGGAGAGCTCGGATCCACGGCGAGTGTACAATTACAGTGAAGTGGATCCAAGCGACCTGGATCCGGATGAGTGTACCCATAATAGGGTGACCATAATGATTACGTCATGGATCCGGTGGATCTGAAGATAACACAGCTGGGATGATGGGTCAAGGGAAGAAGGGACATGCAGCCGAGCCTGGTAAGGGATTTAGCAGGTGAAAGACATAGAAGGTAGAAATCCAGGCAGTTATAGGCTCAAATATCAATACAGACTTCTATTTGCACGATAACACGCAAGTGCCTTCCTGCCCTCAAGAACCGGAACTACATTGGCCGTACGAGCTCGGAGAAGGTTGGGAATTGCGAACCTAGTGTTGGTAGCGATAACTGGATAATACATTGGCCAGATCCTACAACATAGTGAGCTTTTCCTATACACGTGCAGATCCAACAGGTTAACCGAATTACTACTTGGTCGGTTACACCCTAGAAGATCTCAACTCTCAAGATCCCGTCACAGGAGGCGGCAAGTGCAACACAAAGGAACTACGAAGCCAAGGGAACGCACCCGCAAGGCAGCCCTACGGCCAGATCCACGATCTAGGCCCCGGATCCATAAGCTCGAATATTCGCTTAGGATACGGAACCATCCACGGACGCAGAGTGAAGATTTTCCACTGCTGCTCCACCCCATCCCCACGTCTCGCCAAGACGCTCAAGCTTCACCACTTGAACTCTTCGGAAGTTACCGAGAGAGCAGATCCCGCCCTACCGACGGGTACACAGGGTGAGGAAAGTTCAGCAGAACACGGATCATCGGGGGACCCCCTCCGTTAGTCAGTGTCTGGGCGCAGTTGGTAAGTTGGATCCGGCAATCTCGCAGATTTTGCTGATCCCGCTACACCACAATGGTGCGCGTGCC